ATGTTACAGATCAGGTAAGTGCTAAACCTGTCCCTGGAGAGTTTCTCCTAGTGGAATACACTAGGTTGATAAGTAAGACTGGGAATTCAACAACTGAGCACTAACTAAGGAGACAGTGACCGTATTATTCAGGCTGTGTTAAAAGCTTATGAAGCCGAATGTATGTTTTAGTCTTTGGTTTGGGGCTAAACACAGAAATAAAAGGAGCAATGGGATCTGTGGCTTTCTAGCCATTTTATTTCAGGCTTAACCTAAAACTTGCTGGGCGGGTAATTGATTGTTCAATGTGAATACGTCTCACCCTGCTTTTGGTCACAGGAAGTCTGAGTTACTGGTGGAAGTTGTTGAAACATCTCTTAAGGTATTTGAACTTTGATCTGCAGCAAAACCTGGCATTTGAAGCAGAACATTGTCAGCATGTGTGCAGGGTACAACTGAGGCAGTGTCTTCTGTGAAAGATCTCTGAAGATTACTGATGCAGTAGCCCTGTCTGAAGGGCTTTTGGGAAGTGTAGAGTTTCCTGAATTGATAGAAAAAGAACAATTGGGTTCAATTGTTAACTTGGATATTGGTGCAGTGTGGCAGTTCTGCATTGCTGGAGTCAAAGGTTGTTCCACCATCTCTACAGCAGTGTGGTTTGCACCTAATACCTGGTGCTTTGTAAATGCTTGGGATTCTTCTGCTTTTAGCTGGGCTATGTCTTATCTGTGCTACAGGAAGAGGAGGAAGAGTCCCAGATGAAAGAAGCTAAATAGTCAGGATATGGAGCAGGGAGAAATAATGGGGGGGAGTGCAGGAGGGGAAGAAGTGCTGATTGTGTAGGGCTTGGACTGAGGAGCTGCACAGACCCTGTGTTGACTGAGGCAATCAGGGGGAGTACTGTAGCATTAGGGAGCTCTCTTGTGGTTGGGAGCTGCACTGATAAATGAAGTACATTGCTTTATCTTCTTTCCAAGTCATTGCTTGAATAATGCTGAGCTTTCCTCTTAGTTTTAAGGGTCTTGCTTACTGCTCTCTTATCTCCTAGGAGTCTTTCAATAATGTAAAACAGTGGCTGCAGGAGATAGACCGTTATGCCAGTGAAAACGTCAACAAGTTGTTGGTGGGGAACAAATGTGATCTGACCACAAAGAAAGTAGTAGACTATACAACAGCAAAGGTATGTTGATGTTAATGAGTTTGCTCAGTTGAGCACCTAATCTGGATTGTAACACACTTGAGTAAGTTCTAGTGCAAAGACGTGTCTTGGTATGCAGATGTCAAGGTACCATAAATGCCAGCAGCTCACTGACCCCATGCAATGCACGTCTTCATCAGGCTGGAGCCTGGGAATGGGGTGGTGGTATTGGAACTTGCAGCTTACCCAGCGATGCCCCAGGAAACAAGGTGAGGTACTAAGCAGCGTGTGAGCTCACTATTCACTTTTTTTTGATTTGCAGGAATTTGCAGATTCTCTTGGAATTCCGTTTTTGGAAACCAGTGCAAAGAATGCCACAAATGTAGAACAGTCTTTCATGACCATGGCTGCTGAGATTAAAAAACGAATGGGCCCCGGAGCGACAGCTGGTGGTGCAGAGAAGTCCAATGTTAAAATTCAGAGCACTCCAGTCAAGCAGTCTAGTGGAGGTTGCTGCTAAAACTCTCCTCCCCCCTTTTTGTCTCACAACAATGAATTTGCAATCTGAACCCAAGTGAAAAACAAAAAAATTGCCTGAATTGTACTGTATGTAGCTGCACTACAACAGATTCTTACCGTCTCCACAAAGGTCAGAGATTGTAAATGGTCAATACTGACTTTTTTTATTCCCTTGACTCAAGACAGCTAACTTCATTTTCAGAACTGTTTTAAACCTTTGTGTGCTGGTTTATAAACGTGTAATCCTTGTTGCTTTTCCTGATACCAGACTGTTTCCTGTGGTTGGTTAGGATGTATTTTTGTTTTGATGTTTCTATTGGCATGTTTAGATGTCAGGTTTAGTCTTCTGAAGATGAAGTTTAGCCATTTTGTATCAAACAGCACAACAGTGTCTGTCACTTTCCATGCATAAAATTTAGTAAGATATATGTAAGATCTGATTTGCTAGTTCCTTCTTGTAGAATTATAAATGGAGAGATCACACTATCTGATTAATAGTTTCTTCATACTCTGCATATAATTTGTGGCTGCAGAATATTGTAATTTGTTGCACAATATGTAACAAAACTGAAGAAAATGTTTAATAAATATTGTACTTATTGGAAGTAATATCAAACTGTATGGTGATAAATATTGTCTTAATTTGTATGGCTAAGGGGGAAATCAGGCTTGCATTGTGCACAAAATGTATCTGTGTGCAGCCATGGCGCTCAGACCTCCTAGTAGACCAGAGCCCTTCCTTGCAAGTAAAACTAGTGACTGTGGCCCAAAAGACTGAGTGGTCATGGTGCTTAAGGCACATCTGCTGTACCAGAAGCACCCAGCCGATGTTCAGGGAGGCATAATGCACTCTGAATGTACAACAGTTCCCTAACTTGGTCTTGGAACTTAATTTATTTCTCAAGGACTCTACTTAGGGAATTCCTGTCCGCTTTGATAGCAGGGGTAGAGAACAGTGTTTCCCTAACATGAATGACTTCAGTGTAACCTTGAGGTGGTATAACTTTCTACCAGTATATTATGTCTTTTCTATATACTGTTGATTCCATCCTCTTCTAATCAGTCCATTTCTGACTTAGTGCAACAGCTTAGCTTCTATTCTGTTATGCATAGAGGCACCAGAAGGATGCAATGGGACAGGGAGGCCCCACCCCAGCCTGTTGCTCAAAGTAGGCGCTATCTGGAACAATTTGGAACTAACCAGCAGCCAGGAGGTTTTGGACAGTGTGTGATTCTTTGTACAGAGCTAATCAAATCATTAGTGCCTGACGTCTAGCTAAAAGCCACAGGAAAGCTAGCCTATAACACTTCCTATACATGTAAAATTGTTCAGCTTTATCTAAACTCCAATGTTCAGCCTATTCTGTAAATAGTCTCATGTTTGAAAGACCATGTAACATTCCCCTAGTAGTAAATACACCCTGTGATAGTAAAAAAAAAATATAGCCTAGGTATGTTGTGAGGTATAAACTAAAACTGGTGCAAATATCCTCTGATTATTTTTTTTTTTTGGGGGGGGGGTGACTTTGGCTAACAGCTTTCTTCAACATAGTTGCATAAATCAACAGGCAATTGTAATACATGAAGTATTGTCATGGTTAAGTTGAACTCTTCCACTTGAGACCTTCACAATAAAGTGATGTGCTTTCTATTAGAGATGTGCTTGTTGGTATAATTCATTATACAATGTGACTTGCTCCTCCTTGGGAGCAGGAGCAGTAGGAGTAGTGAGTGCTGCCAAGATCAGGGAGTGAACCAGGAGGAGGTGTGTTGAGGGTAAAACATCTTCCCTGCAGAGAAGTGCACAAATGAACTTAAATGTCAAGATGCCTGCTACATACTGTCCAAAACAATGTTAATATATACAGTAATAAAAGCATTGCAAAACCAGCTTGGGCTACACCAGTTGTTTGGTGGTTATTTTTTGTCCCTAAGTCATTACCGAGTTACCGGGTTGGTGTTATTAAATGCTAGAGCCGGCAGAGGTCGGGCTGGAGGCGTGTGGAAGAGAGCAGAGCAGACCTAGAAACCTGGAACAAGGGCACTGTTGTCTTTTAACCTGTGAGCTCAAATGCAAACTGTTTAAGCATTACTCTGAGTGCCCATAGGTATGGGACCTGGTGCTGGCAATGCCAGTGAGACCAGTCTTGCTGTAACCATTTGCTTGAGCCTTTCTGCTGAAATTTAGACTCAGAATAGTTTGGGTTGGAAGGGACCTTAAAACTCATCCAGTTCCACCCCCTGCCAAAGGGCAGAGACACCTTCCACTAGACCAGGATGCTCCAAGCCCCGTCCAACCTGGCCTTGAACACTGCCAGGGATGGGGCAGCCACAGCTTCTCTGGGCAGCCTGTGCCAGTGCCTCACCTGGTGCTTTCTTTGAGTTGTCACCTGCACCTTGGCAATAAAAGACACTGCCCTTTTTTAAGCTGAGGACGTGCAAGACGGGAGAGTACCAAAAAGACCCCACAAGACTCAGTGAGTTACTTGTCATTTGTAACTGCTTCAGTTTGTGCTTGTGCAGTGCAGAAACTTCATGTTGTTCTGCTCACAAGAATGGGAGGAAATTACATCTTCTGCACCAGAACATGCTGATCACCATTGAGTTGAAAGGTTAATTAAAGCCAAGTACCAACATTCTAGAGTTGGCTGTAACTCTTTGGGCATTTACTGCTCTCATTCTGCTACTCGAGATGCCTTTTTCTGTTGCAGAAAGGGTATGGAGGCTTTTTGTGACTGTTACGTGAACAATGATGAATTATGCTAGCTGCAAGAGGGGAAGGGCAAGAGCTGCACCTAGTGGACCCCAGCACAGCATCAAGACCACTACTGCAAGTAACAGCAAGCAGCAGTTTATGCATAACCCTGAGGGTACTCACCGGATTATTACTAAGATTCCTATAGTATATTGGCTGTTTGTGTTTATGCCTAAGGAAGCTGGAGGTTCAACAGGCTCTGCTTCAACAGGAATCATAGAATAGTTAGGGTTGGAAAGCACCTTAAGATCATCCAGTTCCAACCCTGCTGCCATGGACAGGGATGCTTCACCCAAGCCCTGTCCAACCTGGCTTTGAACACTGCCTGGGATGGAGCATTTACCACTTCTCTGGGCAGCCCATTCCAGTGCCTCACCACCCTCACAGTAAAGAACTTCCTCCTTATATCCAACCTGAACTTCCCGTTTCAGTTTGAACCCATCACCCCGGTCCTGTTGGTACAGCCCCGATGAAGAATCCCTCTCCATCAGGGACTGTGGCTAAGTATAAACAGGAGTTCCATTTGCTCCCAAGATGCAGGAGGAGTTGCTATTTCTTGGCTTCTCAAACCTATTTCTGAAGATCACAAACAAACCATGAGACCACAGCTATTCAAATCACACGGCTTTACTTAGGAGGGAGTTGCACGGCACACGGTGGATTACTCAGTTACAAACGGGTGTGTTCCTGACGTTCTTGCTCACACATGGAACAAAGCCACTTCGATTAAAAACCCCATGAAAGCTACATTAAAAAACAAACCCCAAAAGGCCAGCTGCACATTCCTCACTCGCACAACCATGAGCTACACAGCCCAGCAGCCAGATAACTGCTGTACAGCTTGCCCTTCTCAAGCCACAGTAAAGAACCAGCACAAAATCAGCCCCAGCTGGTTAACTCCCTACACAGTGCTCGTACGTGTTTTGGCGTCTCTGTGGGAGGGGAAGGAGGTGCTTTGGTGCTTGCTGCAGCTCTCAGCCATCCCGTGCCTGGCTGATCAAGGCCAGGTCTGATAGAGGCAGCACCTGAAATGAAACGGATTAAGTTTGCTACTGTGCTTTGGCTGCAATCCAACAGCCAAAGAAAACACTCATGCTGTACTTCCTTAAATCACCTCCAGAGCTGCTCACTAGTGAGAGGATATAGCTCTCATAGAGGTATATTTATCAATTAAACAAACAGGCTACTTACCACAGAATAAGAGAACGGTTTTGGTTGAAAGGGAGCTTAAAGTCATCCAGCTCCAACCCCTGCCACGGGCAGGGACACCTTCCACTAGACCAGGTTGCTCCAAGCCCAGTCCAACCTGGCCTTGAACACTTAAGCTATTGTTAATCTCTAAAGTGCTGGAAATACCGTTTCCCTTTTGTAACTCCAAATGTTACGGCGTGCCATGGAGCAGGCTGTGGGGATGTCGACAGTCTGAGGTAATAGGGGGTGGCCAAGGTTATCCTGCAGTTCCTAACTTCCTGCCTTTGGGTGCTTAAAAGCTGCCAAGAGCCTTCCTGTGCTTTGGCCCCAGCGCCAGCACCCATGAGCGTTCCATTCCACACAGACATGGTTACCCATGGCAGCACACAGCTGGTGGTGCCTCTGCCTGCAGACACCACGTGCCATTGCCACCCCTGCACCCCTGTTCACTGGCACTCCTGCCGTGCCCTCTGGAGATGCTTTTGCCTCTCTTTTAGTTGAAAGAAGATGGTCAAGAAATCACAGAGTCATTTAGGTTGGAGAAGACCTTTAAGATCATCCAAGCCAACCATGATCCTAACACAGCCAAGCCCACCACTAAACCATGCTCCCCAGCACCAGATCTACACGGCTTTTACATACCTCCAGGGATGGTGACTACACCATGGCCCTGGGCAGCCTGTTCCAGTGCCTGACAACCCTCTCTGGGAAGCAACTTTTCCCAGTATCCAGTCTAAGCTTCCCCTGGAGCACCCTGAGGCCCTTTCCTCTTGTCCTATCACTTGCTACATGGGGGAAAAAGAGACTGACCCCCACCTTGCTCCATCTCCTCCTTTCAGGCAGTTGTAGAGAGCAATAAGGTCCCCAAAGCCGCCTTTTCTGCAGGCTAAACACCCCCAGGTCCCTCAGCTGTTCCTCACAAGACTTGTGCTGCAGGCCCTTCACTGCCCTTTGGACACACAACCAGCAAACAAGTTTTCTAGCCCCTTTTACACCGGGATTCACTTGCTCCCCCTTCCCTCCATGACACAGCAAAGCAGAATGGTTCTGAGGAAATACCCCCCCCCAAAACACCCCTTCCTGGTCTTCCCTCTGCTGCCCAAGTGATTCCATCAGAGCAGCTGCTCTGCTGCTGTCCTCTGCACCCTGACTGACAGTGACCTGCCCGCTCCCTGTGTCCCTCCGAGGAGCTGCCACCGCTCTCATCGTGCTCTTGGGTTTCATCAGCTGGGTCACCACCCCCCTGCTCTTCCCTGACACACACGTACAGACCATGGGGCATCCCTTTTGAGCTCACCCTTGCTCTCTTCTCCTTCTCGGCTTTCCAAGCATCAGATTGACAGAAATAATAACGAAGCCTGATGGATGGTGTTTGCTAATTTAGGTGTTTTATCTTCCCCCCTCTCCCCCTGCCTCAGAAGGCTGGTTTGCCCCTCCTTACCCACTGAGCAGCCGTCTGCTGCACCCCCTTGTCCTCCACCCCATCCTTGCCCCGCATGGGACCCACAGCAGCTAGAACGGACTCGTACAGGTGCTCTGCGTGGGTTTCCAGCTCTTCTGACTGCTTCGCAATCAAACCCAGCGTGTCCTTCAGAACTGGAAAACAGGAATGTATGAACGGAGGTGGCAGTAATGTGAGAATTTCATGTCTGTAAGCGCAGGGAGAGCGTGCCACTCATCTGGGCAGGCTTTGGAAGGAAATGTGCTAGAAATCACTTAGCTGATCTTCACCCCATCCAAGATGTGATGCAGAGTTTGGAAACGGTGGGAAGGGACCTGGGAGGCTCCATGTTAAGAGGGAAGATACAGAAATAGGGCCTCCTAAAGAAGACCTTTGGGACTGTGCCAGAAAGCCCATCCCATAATGCAGCACTCAGCCACTAAAGCCCCTTTGATGACTGCAGATGCAGCCAACCCTTTAGAAACACACTACGCAGGATGCACCAGGTCACCGGAGCGGCTGCTCCATATGTGCCATGCCACAGCCTGGGATGCACCAAGTGCAAACAGGGTGTGAAAATCACCCCTCCTGCACCAGGCCAAAGCATCTCCCAGCTGCAGGCTGGCAGCATCCCACAGCCCAGTGGCCATGCTGCAGTAAAGATAAAACCTAAGGGACCTATAAGAGAGCAAACACATCCATCACCCACAGTGGATGGCACGGCACAAGGCAAGGGTCAAGGCATGGTGCAGCTGAAAGTTACCACTTTGAACCCTTGAGACACCTCAGCTTCAAGTCTCCAGACAGCAATGGAGATGTAAACCCCTTCTTCCCATACAGCTGCTGAAGAGCAAGCTGTGCCCACTGCTTCCACACACACAGGGGCCAGGGATTTTGTGGGGCAGAGGCTATGGCCAGCATCACAGCTGTGTCCCCGGCCCCTGCTCAGCTGCTCCTCCTCACCTGGTGAATTTGATGCCATGCAGTCGAGGAGAGCTTCTCCCTTCTCCAGCACGCTCTCTGTCAGGCTCCGGTGGTTGGCCACGTCCTTCCTGAACTCCTGGGAAGGACAGGAGAAGGGAGCGCTGCTTAGAAGGGTGTTTGGAAGAAACACATGTACTGCAGGTTGCCCAGGGAGCAGTTTCCCACATTCAGCTCTGCACGCCCAATGCATCCCACATCACCTGCCTGGACCATGCCAGCACTGCAGAGGGGAAACAAAAGCCAGGGGTGATGCCTACCAAGCAGCGGTGCAGCGATGCCTTCATGCTCTTGGCATCCGGCAAGGGTGGTACCCAGCTGTCAGTGATGTCCACGACGTTGTACAGCCAGCGGATCAGCTCTTCCAGCTGGCAGCAAAACATCTGCTCAACAGAGCACAACAAAAGGGGTTATTGATCTGTTCCTGCAACAAAGACACGGCAGGGACAGGAACAGGTGAGCCCACACTGTTTTGGAAAGTGCCTGCTCCCTGCTTCTCTCCTGTCCTCCCATTCATACATATAAGCATCCCTAAACACTCCCACTGAAACCAGACTGCAGCCGTACTCCTGCTCCTCAGGAGTCAGGAATTTGCTATAAAGCTGAGCTACTTTCCCCCTGGAACCATGATTTGAGGTGAGATACACCCTGATGCTGACAGTAGAAAAGGCCCTTTTAAATCAGCAGTTATCCCCATGCAAGAGGAGGGGATGAGCTGCCCTGGTGTTTGCAGCTGCGTGCAGGATAATAATTACTTTCCAGCCAACAGCCCACCATGGCTTCCCAATGCAGCACAGGGCTGGGGTGAGGAAGACAATGGAGGGGAAGGTGGGGAGCACAGCACCAGTGGAAGGATAGCACTGAACAGTGGGAGGGACGGGGCAGGCAGCAAACCCTGGGCTCCACACCAGCCCCAGCTGCAGCTCCGGCCTCTTCCCTGATGCAGCAGTGCTGCAGGATGGATGGGTGGTGGGAAGCTGATCCCCCCAGGAGAAGTGAGCTGGGCTCCTGCTCCATCAGAAAGAATTATCTGCTCCAGTGAGCCCCCCCTGCATAAATTACACACAGCTGCCAGGCACCAAACGCCATGCAGAAGGGGAAGCCTTAAGTAACTGTGCCATAAACACAGGCACAGTTCATGTGAGAGCTCCCCATAATAAACCTTATTTCTGGTCTCAGCCTACCTTAATGCACTGGGCAAGGGACTCGCTCTGAAGGCTCTTCCTGGGATGCCCCTTGACCCGTGGTTCGTTTAGGTACCTGCCATCCAACGTGTCTCTGAGACCAGTCGGTAGATAAAGCCCCTGCAAAGGATCCCTATGGATGCGGCCACATAATTCAGTGTTTTCCTGGCTGGACTTCTGAGAGCTGCAGGGGTGCCACAGCCCAGCATAACCCTCAAAACTCCCTCTTCCATCCCTGCCACCTGCTCCTCCGAAAGGAGCCAACTGGGATGAACAGGGCTTCCTGCTGTTGCTGTGACATGGAAGTTCATGATGGTCATGCCCAGGAGTCCTTATAGTTAAGGAAAGATCAGACAAGAACTGAGCCAGCCTTTCCAGCTCCAGCAGTCTCGGAGGCAGAGAGAGGAATTCTTCATCACCGTCCCACTCCTTCCTCAAGGGGAGCACTGCCGTTGTAGGTAAAAACCTACCAGTGCTTTTCGCCTGCCCTTTGTCCTTTGGGAAGGGGCTCCCTCTGGTGCACCAGCTTCTCCCATCCGCAGCAGGGCGGCCAGATGAGCCCGTCCCAGCTGACTCCGTGGCTCCATCCTTAGCAAAGCCTCTTGAAGGATGAGAGGAAGCACTTCTTGTGGAGGATGTTTTTGCAATAGGTAAAGGTTCACAGGATGACAGGCCCCTTTTTCCAGGCTCCACGGTAGAGAACCTCTCTGCAGAGCCCATGAACCCCCAGCGTCCACCTTCTCTGCCTCCCTGAGCCTGCCCACCTCGGCCATAGATGCTGGTGGACCTCGATGTGCCTTCAGGGGAAAGAGAAAAGCTGTCCAAACCTATCCCCGAGTCATGGAAGAAAGGATCCGGCACCTTTCCCAGCTTGTATTTTGGCTTCAGTGGATAAGCATAATCCAGCAAGTCCTCATATTCCTTATTGGGGTTCCAGTGGGGCGAGCAACGGTCTGGAGACGGGGGCAATGAATCCGGGAGGGCACATGCCCAGTAATCAGCCTGATAGGATGACATCCCCCTGATGCACCCCCCGGTGCTGCGGTAGTCAAGCAGAGCACCGAAGGGCTTGCGCACCCGCAGCGCCCTGCCCTGTGCTGCTCCCCACCGGCGGCACAGGTCCCGGGTGCTGGTGGCAGGGGAAGGCACATCCACGCTGGCCGGCAAGCTCCGGGATGGCTCCTCGGAGAGGCCGTTCTCTTCCGAAGACAGAGCGGAGCAGCTCGATGCGGAGCGGCTCCGCAGGGTGGTCCTGGGGCTCGGTGGGGTCTGAGGCTGCAGGAGCTCCAGCGTGGAGGAAAGTGGGGATTGAGCCCCCAGCCTTTGGCTCTGCCGGCCGGCAACGTGGCAGCTACCAGCAAGGATGCTCTCCTCTGCAGAGCTGGGAGGGCTGGACACGGGCTCCCAACAGCCCGATGCCTTCACCTGCTCCAGGATGGGGGGAAAGGGAGAGAGAGAGGTATAAAATGAAGCACAGGATCCAAACAAAAGGCCCCTTTGTGCTAGGTATGGAGATGAAAGGCCAGTCCTGGACCTGCTGCAAGGAGAGGCTGGAAGGGGAGCTCTGCTCCGTCTGCAGGATGGCATGCAGCTGCCTGAAGCCTGCAGTAAGGCTTGTTTTTAAGGAAAGGCATCCCGAGGGCTTGGGAAGCTGCACAAGTCATTTGGCAGCGAGAGGCACTTATTTAAGGAGCCCTGTCCCGAGTGACTTCCCAGCTCCGCAGCAGCAATATGGGAATGGAGGCAACGGCTTTGGCGTTGGAGCCCAAGCGCTTCCCCAGCTCAAGGCTTAGCCCAGGGCACGCTCTGCGTGCAGGAGGGGGAAAGCCCTTACTAGGACAGACCAAACACACCAGTCCCCACCTCACCTGGGACCTCGTGGTGATGCAGCAACACCCGTATGTACACCCCGCTCACCTGCTGCTCCTCTGAGAACAGGAACCGGTGTCTAACGTGAAGAGGCACATCACCACTGTCACCATAGATCAACGCCTCTGCCTCCAAGAGGCTTCCCCTTGCTCTGGGAAGCCTGGATGCGGATGCTGAAGGCACTTCCTGGTGGTAGCTCGAGCCTCCCTGGGTAACACCAGTGGCCAAGCGACTGTGCCTGCTCAGTGCCACGCCGTCCATCCCCTGCGGGCAGGGCTTGGCCTGCTCTGCCCCTGCAACCCGGCGCAGGCTGTGTGCAAGCTCTGGGTAGTCCGTCTCCACCTCTGCACAGTCCCACCGACCGCTGCTCTCGGCCTTCCCACTCAGCGAGGCTTCGGAAAGCGATTTTCCCACATCCACAGCCATTGGGACAGGATGATGCCAAGCCTCAGGCTCTCTGAAACACACAACACACGGTAGCAGCACTTGCTGGACCCCCTCGTCTCCATGCCAAGTAAGGAAACTGGGTATGTCTAATAATGGAGGGATAAAGCATTTACTGAGTCAGACCTGAAAATCGCATCTTGGGCATCGAGTGGGACAGAGGAAAGAGCAAACCTTTGTGTCTCAGCAGTGTTTTCTGGTTTTGAGGACATGACAGACAGGGAAAACCTAATTAAAGCTCTGGCTGCACTGAGACCAAACCTGTGCTTCAAACCTCGCCGGCACAGCGCGACTGTCTCCTGGATCAATGGCCAATCTCACAAACAGCTTGTACCCCATGCGGTAACTGGGCCCAAATGAGACATTAAGTAGGACGTGAAGCACCTTTTAGGGTGGCTGAGCCCTGAAGGCTGTTGGGATGGGAAGTTGAGGGGGTTTTAAGAGGCAAACTCAAAGCCTTGAAATGGAAACCACCCAGCAGTGAGAAGTATATATAAAAAATAAGAGGGGGAGGCAGGAGGCTGCAAAACCCAAACGTGGCACTTGGCAGCTTCGAGCTCAGCTCATGGAATTAACTCCTTGTGCAATTAATTAATGGGAAGACTTGCTCAACCAGTGACACATTTTGAAGCCCGCTGCATGGCCAAGCCCACTGCATCTTGCTGCAGAACCTTCTAACATGAGATGCTTCAAAGCTGAGCCCCGAGTGCTCTGTGCACAGAGATGCTCCACCACCACCTCTCACTGGCCTGGAGTGAGGAGCTGCAGCAGAGCCAAACCAAGGAGACCCAACAGATCTTGTTCAGTGAACACCAGAGCTGAGCACCTCTGCTTGCGTTCTCCAAGCCAGCAGGACTCGAAGCCACTCTCAATATAAGTGACACCCATTGGGCTACTCACAAAGCACCAAAACTGGCACTGGCAAAATCCCCTCCCCAGGCTCAGTCACATCCTCAGAGCGCTGGCAATACCAAAGCTTCTTTCGGCAACTCCAGCCCAAAGCAGAGTGCTGGCATTAGGAAAACACTGGCAGAGTGGTTTTGCTGGTACTCATGCAGCTAGTGCCAGGGCACTGATGGAGAGGCAGCAACGGGAACATCAACGGCAAACTCAAATAAAGAACAAAAAGAAGGAAGAAGAGTATTCCCAAACAACACTTGGAAATGGGGAAGAAGCTGGTACTCACATCCTCCATTAGCTGTTGTGTCACAACCTCGTTTTATGATCCCACCTCCCGGAGACAGGGGTTTTCCCATGGGCAGAGCCCGTGCACAGAACAAAGAGCAGCAGGGCCATGCCGGGTCTCCAGAGGAGCCCGAACCCCGGCACCGCAGCTGCCTTCCCCTCCCCGAGGGCCACAGCTATATTGAGCATGGCAGCAGCTGTGGAGAGGGCGAGTGAAGCCTGGGCTCTCCCAGCCCTCCATGCAAGCCTCTGCTGATACCTGGACTCAACCGCTCCATCACTTCGGTCACTATCGAACAACCCTACGCACATCACGTTACCCTAAAATCAATGGCATTGCTCTCTTTTCCCCCAGAGAGGTTGTATATCCAAACAAAAAGGCGTGCGGACTGCAGTAAATGTAATTGATAATCCCACCCCTGCTAAATTACCTACATATTATACAACGGTGTATCATTAAAATGCATGTAAGCATATACAACTTGTTCAACAGAAGATAGATTTCTGATGAAAGAGTATCCCAAACCACTCAGGAACCCATGAGTGTTTCCCACACAGCATGTGTATGATTTCTTCACGTATCCATCATAGAGACTGTTTAGGCCAGAGGTCTCCTGAGCCCCCACAGGCAGCCCCTGTTACCTGTCAGCCTTCACCACCTCCTGTTTGGTCCCTCTGAATCAGTTTTGTTTAAACAGACAGGCAAGCAAACATTAGTGAATCAAAGGCCAAATCCAGCCTACAGGTGATTTAAATGCCCAGAAAACCCCCTGAGATATATTTACTGGCTTTGAAAGCTAGGGCCTTGGCCACAGGGAGAAACAATGCTCCCTGGTTGGATACCTCCTCTTCCAACCAAAACCTAATGAGCACATATTCAATTCCAGGATCCATTTCAAAGCTTTAAATTCACCATTTTGGGTGCTTTCCCCTGTGACAAGCAGGTGATTCAGCAGAGAACATCACTAATTACCATGATATGAACAGGCATCTCAGCAGCTCTAACTCCTCCTTGCACATACCTGGCAGTGCCTTACATCCAAAAATGACCCAGTAAATAGAAACCTTAACAAAGAGGAGGGTGCTGGGCACCTGTAGCTTAGGACATAAACGCCTCAACAACCAGTTCTGTTGTTGGGCAGTGATTTAAAAAGATGCGGAAAAGGAAGAAAAGCTTAACAAGGCATCAAATTCGAGTTTAAAGTTTCAAACTGAATGTGCAGCAATTAACACTCACCCACAGCACATCTTTACCTTTAAGACGGTGCCACATTAAATTCAAACATCATTACTTCCAACAGATGCAGTGGCTTGAGTCATGTTGTCAGCTCAGTAAAAACAACTATAAACCAGATATAAGCTTAACCATAAATCTAAACAGCATGTGTGAAACAACATTAGAAGAAATTACAGGTCAGAACCCAACTGTTATTTCTGTAGCTGTTTGCAGGAGCGCCAAGGTTGGACTAATCTGAACTTTCAGGGCTGTTTGCTGATCTTACGGAGGCAGCACTGCAGTGATGCACACTTCCGTGAGGCCATCAGTCATTAAAAAAAGAGCAAGTGCTGCTTCACAGGTTCATTAAATCTCCAGAAGCTAATTGGAAGCTAAAGAGAACCCAGGAAACCTGCCAACACACACAAGCGAGAGTAAATCTGCTCCTTTCAGAATAAGGCAGTCAAAGGGATGACAGAGATTTCGCTTATTTCCCGAAGCCCCTAACTCAGGCAGCTAATTTCAGCTCATTTCAGAGGGAGGTGGACATCCAACCACACTTGGATGCAAACTGGATGGGGAAGTCACACACACCCCATGCACAGGACAACCAGGCGAAGAGTCCTATTTAAAACCAAGGTGAAAACGCCAGTGCCACGCAGTGCACCTCCCAGCTACACAGGCTCGCATCAAACGAGGTTTCTCACCATTCTCCACCAAAACCACTCAATCTCAGAGGTCCAGTGGCGGTGCCGCACCAAGATTAACGCTCACGCCAGGAAGAAGCAAACCCCAGTCCTCGGTCAGGACAGGCACTGCTCTGAGGAGAGACGTGCGACCACAGCCTTGGGCACGGCGGAGACTTTCCACTGCCCTTAAACCCAAGGGAACCCAGCCAGAAATCCCGGCTACACCCGAGCCCTTTCCATTGTCTCCCCAGCGCCGGGGCGGCACAGAAACACAACCCGCGACTGATAGGAAATGAGGACAGTGGCCGCTTCATTCATTCCAATGGGAGAAGGTCCACAGGGAGCCCTCCAGGAAAGCGATCCCTCTCCTTTCCACGTCACCAGAAGCCGCCTGCCAAAGATCCACACAAAACCCAATGGACAACGCAGGCTCTGTCCCAGCCAGAGACCCCCCTTTGCCCGTGGGCATCGTCCCTTGGCTGGCAGACTCCAACAAGGGCAGAGTCCGCTGATAGTTTCTGTCTCCCACCAGCTCTGGTTTTCTTGTGGTTTGGGGTCTGTTTTGGGGGGAAACCACACCGCTCTTGCCTTTCAGGCCTGCGGGATGTGAGGTTTCGTACTTTTTGCTCCTTTTCTGACATGCTTTCTGCCCGAAAACAAACCTTTCCAAAGCTGAACACTCGCGTATTAAACGCAACAATTCCGACACAAAGGCAACAAGCGGAGCACGCACCGCACCCCGGGGTGCCCTGAACTGCTGGCGGCACGCACAGAACGCGCTGTAGGTAACGGGGACGGGCTTCCGAAGGGTAAAGCCGCCCGTTCTGCGCCCTCCCGCACACCCGAACCCCCGAGCGGCCCCGGCGGCGCGCAGAGCCGGGCCATGCTCCCCCCCCCCCCCCCCATCCCTCCCCGGGGACAGCCACCACCGCCGCGCCCCGGCCCGCACCTACCGAGCGGCGGCCCCGCCGCCCCGCCCACCGCAAGCGTCTCAGCCAATGGGAGCGCGGGGTTTTCGTCACACGGGGCGCCCCTGAGGCGCGGCAGCCAATGGGAGCGCAGCGTGGCGCTGGGGCCCGAGGCACGGCCGGGACTGACCCTGGGCTGGGCGGGGAGCGGCCGCCGCGGCTCCGGCCCCACTCCGCTCCGCTGCGGGTTCTCTTCCGGCCCCCGGCCGAGCTGGGGCGGAGCGCAGGAGCCGGCGGGCAGCGGAGGCTGAGGAGCTCCGGGTGGTGGTGTCGGAGCAGCGTCACCTCCAGTGCCCTTGAAAAGCAGTGGCAGCTTCAGGGTGCCTCCCTTAGCCTGTGCGTTGACCTTCCCCGGCAGCCGCTGCCCCGCTCCCCGCGGGGTTCCTGGATGGAAAACCACGTACAAGTGGTGCTGCATGGGCAATGGCTGTACGTGCAATCGGAAATGGATTTTAGCATCCTACAAGGACGAGGCAAAGGCCCTGCACCCCCCCCGCTCCAGGAGCTTCCTCCAGTGCAGCAGAGGGGGTCTGGTTCAGGAGCAGGCTGTGAGTGTGTTCAGGGGCTGCCCATTGGGTGCCAGTGGTGCCTGGCATGTCAGAGCAAACTTTACAGTTACAGTTTGGATGTGCAGTAATTAATGGTTGACCACGGTACCTCTGTTTCTCAGAAGATGCTACGTTAAGTACAAACTGATGTTGAGCATAATTACCTCCATTAGGCTGGAGGTTTACCCGGCTTTCTGGGTAAATGCTCACACCACAGGTTTGAAACAGGCTGCTCTGGGGCTCTACCTGACCCTTCTTTGGTGGATGGAGCACCCATATCCCATGGAAAATACAAACCTTTCCCCTTGTTTGTGTCCAGAGTCTGATCCTGTTTTTCGTCTGCATCACCTGCTCCTGGAGCTTGTTTCTTAGGCAATGCTGAGATTTCCCAGAGGTCGGTTATCTGATACAGGGATCTATGAAAGACATTGCTGCCAGCTTTAGGCCGTGAAGGACCAAAGAGACCTCTCAGGTTCGTTCAGGTAGGTACCCAAGTCCCTGGCTACCGCTACTGGCCACAGTGCTCACCCGTGCAGCATGCTCCAGTCTGCCACTCTATGTATTATAGTCCAGATTCCCAGCTGCTGTGACACAGGTTTACTCTACTGACCTCAATGGAACCGGGCCCATCTACCATCTGGGAGGACCTTCTTTATTCTCTTTAAAGGAACAGAGAGTGGGAATATCAGATTCAGGGCTGCTTCAAAAAGCAGAGCTGTAATGCCACTGTGTAACATGGCACGGCGCTCTCAGCAGAACTCACAGCCAAGGAAAAGCCCGCATCATCTCTATTCCTGCATCACAGTTCTGCAGTTGGGGTTCATTTGGTGGAGCTCTTCCGGAGGGCTGCACATCCATTCCCCTGCCTCGGATGCACGCTTCTGAGAGCTGGCTTTTCGTTGGAATTCAACACAGGCAGAGCCCCTGTGAAAGAGAAGTCCTTTCTGATGTTGTTTATTGCTTATTCTCCAGGGAGCCGGTTGCCTGCCAGTAGAGGCCGCGCTGATTTCAGGCTGAAGCAAACACGGATAGGTCATGATTCATACCCGGGCTCGGCTGTTTTTAGCTGGTTTAAGTTACTCGCAAGCTGCCAGACATTGTTCTCGAAGCTGAATAGCGCTCGGCTGCGGTCTCAGTCCCAGCAGGAAAGGTTTGCGTCCTGTTCCGCCTCCGATCAAACGAGTGCCAGGATGTCTGCAGGAACAGCCAGGGCGATGCAGAATCGTTCCCCTCTCCTCGGGCTCACGCTGGGAGGATGTCAATAAACAAAGGCGAATAAACTGGTGATCTAGAGGAGAGAGTATTTAAAAGCTGAGGGAACGCTAGTGGTTCTTTCCTGCTGACATCTGGCCTTTCTTAGGAGCTCTGCTGAAGAGTCACTAGTGTATTTGATCTATAATGCAGGGTCAGACCCAGCCAAACTCCCACCCAAAGTCACTGAAGGCTGGCAAAGACGAACATGGGTATTTTCTGCTGATTTTAGACCTCAAGATGTTTCAGACCTGTGTTTTTTTTAGCAAGAAGGCTCCCCAGCAAAGACAAATGATTTCACCACATCTGTGGATGCAATAATTCAGCAGTAATCCCCTCACCTATGACGTGAAGTAGAGCTTGCGTACAATGATCACATTTGAAAGTGGCTCATTTCTAGTATATGTGAGAAGCTGGGATAGGAAGAATCCATTGTCTTCAAAAAACTTCTACCTTCTTGGCAGGAATATCCATGTTTTTGTACAGAACCAGATCCATCAGGAGCACCAGCTGTGCGTATCCAGAGTTTTAATATGCCCATAACCAATGTTATGCTGTTATCCAGAACTTTTGGCACATCAGTTTGTAATTTGTTTCTACCTTGGATGGTCTCACACTACAAGCTGGACAGTTAATACTCTGCGATGAAACCTGAGGCCTGGATGTGCACCATATGCTCTTGAATAGCATCTACACTATCTCTGGCATCAGATTTCAGTCTCACAATGCAAATGGTTGGGGTGGATGAGATGTCAGCAAATGCAGGGCATGGACCTGACCTATTTGTTCGCAGAGCATTGCTAGCAGTATTGCTAGAGTACTGCAGGGAACAGAAAATCTGGTTGTAATCACTTTGTCGTCTCTTGGCATTATCTGTGGGGAGGATTTGCCTGCATTTGGAAAATTGTCCCATTTCTGATGCTGTGCCTCAGAGAGCCAGAGAGTTAATATTACATGTAACCTGTTAGTACACCTGCCTATCTTCCAGTGTTGTCATCCAGATGGGAAGGAGTTGCCGCAAGCTGCCTTTGCTTCTGTTGGCTACACTGAAGTGTTCACTATTCCTCTCCTGTGGTAAAGCTGCTCAGGCACTGATTTATAAAAATACCTATGTTGCAAGCCGACAGCAATGCATTCCAGCTCCATAAGGACGGCCCGGCTGGCAAATTCTCTGCTTAACCCCTCTCTCAAAGGTGGTTGCAGGGAGAGGTCCTTCTCCTCTTGAGGCTAACAGCCCTTTTCCCCACAAGTCAGGATTTCCACGTCTTGGACTGTTCCCCTTGTTCTCCTCTTGATTCTCACTCTTTGGGCCACATTTCTTTAATGCTCAACACCTAAATCTGGTCCAAAACTCCAGCATGGGCTTGGCTATAATTAGGCAAAACTGTTATGGTAGTCCAGGATGCATTCCTGTTTACACACCCTGGTATAGTATCTGCCTTATTCATAGCGCAGGGCATTGACTCATGCTTCTGACTGCCCTCAACTTCCTGATCCTGCTCCTTAATCCACCGTTTCCCACCAGTATTAGTGCAGTTACTCACATCTAGATTAGTTTCCATGTTTCCCAGACCCTCTCCCAGTTCTTTCATTGCTATGAATTTCAGCCCTGCGCTTTTCCGTGTTCCCAGACCTTTTCTTCCAGGTGGGACGTGCAGATTTTCTCTGATCTGACATTTGTATCACTAATTCACTAATTATGGTCCTGGACCTACAGAAGGCCCCTGAGGAATCCAGTCCTTCACCTTAGGGTCTAAATAAGCAGGTTCAAACTGAGCCATGTTGCTTTAGTTTCTTCATAAGGTTATGAAAAGGTTCACTGAAAGCCTACAAACTTTCCCTCACTCTTGTACAACATCATAGCTTCCACTGCATTATTGCTAAATATTCCCTAAAAAAAAAAAGGTAGCTGCTGCTTTTTCTTCCTGATTTTGGAGAAGCACCTGAAAATGAGACACCCAAGGCAGCTGAACAAATGAAACATGTAAAGCAGGATTAATAAAGAACAGAGGGAAAACTAGAATGACATCTGGTTTAATGCAAACATTGAAGTGCAGAGCAATGAGCTTTAGTGCTAGCAGCTGGGCAGCTTCAGAGCTTTATCATTCGGTTGCTCAGCTGGGCAGAGCAGAAGGATTTAGCCCAAGAAAAAGCTCAACTAGACAGTGCACTTCTCCTTTCTGGCCACACGATGTACCCATCACACCACGAACAGCCTGGATGGACTGCCAGCAGCAAGAGACCCGGCCACAAAGGCAGGTGTTTGAAGGTTGAAGGACAAAGCATCTCCTTGCCTCTATCCAGCCCCTCTATACCACCCCATAGCCGCAGATCAGGGTTAGGGGACAAAGGGGACGAAGGGGACGGAGTTCGTGTGGTCCAGGTGCTTCACCTTTCCTCTTGTTGGATGAAGGTGACACATGGCTGTGAAAGCAATAGGAGCCAGATGGTCAGGAGGTGATGGCAGCTTTTGATCAATGTGAATTATAATGGGAAATGAATAATTGGAATTATTTTTGCTTTTTAAACGTGAGGTTTTACTGTGCTGTCAGTGAGGGACTTATTTTTCACTTTTAATTACTGGAATGTCTTGGCCCTTTGTCATTTGTATGCAGTCATGAGCAAAACCCAGAGGTTCTTCAAAACCGGAGCTGGGATCTGCAGGAGCCAGTTGTAAAAGCAATATTGGGATTGGTATGAATGAAAATCCGTTTCAGTGTCAGAAGTGTCAGAAGGAATAGCAGGGCAGGGGGGTTAAGGACAACTTGTATCCATAACTAATGACACCATTCCCAGCTGAAACAATTGAGACTATGTTGGTTTTGTTAAGCCCAGAAGGACTGCACACTGATAAGCCCATAGCACACACAACTCGTTCATGAAAAACCCTCTGTATCACATCCCATTCCTTCTCCTGGCAGCCCAGCAGGAGCAGAGACTGCACCCAAGGATCACTACAAAGCAACTGCCAATTCTTAAAGATTATTTAAGAACTGTCCCAAAATTGAGAGGCTTAGTGAAGACTTGACAGCTGTCATCCCTTGTTGTGTATGTTGCATGCAAGTGACTGGGGCCAGACCACTTCAACAACTTATTTCATTGCTTGTGAGCATCGAGTGAATTGTATCTATACGAGAACAAGTGCAGGCTAGTAAAATCAGCTTGAAATGTAAATAATACCATATTCCCCTTCTGTAAGATCTCATATTGAGTTTGGCTACGCTGGTTTTCTATCTTAGCAAGAATGGTACTGCTAAAAGCTCAAAGCCTGATGTTTTCAGGATGCTTGGTGAGTCAAATTACTTGAACTGATTAATGATGCAGTACCAGGGAAGCTTAATCTTAATGATTTGGTTGCTGTTGGTTGAAACCCACTCAGTTGTGAATGCTGGTAGGCCTCCCTCAAACTCCAGTAGCTGTAGGCATCGCCATCTGGTTATACTCTAGCACAGTACGATGAAGAGAATCCAGATCCGCCTGATTGTGTACATGCTTTGGTGACACAGTGATTACAGTCATTTACATGGCATTGCTGATCAGTATCCTGCAGAGACAGCAAAGTCCTGTTACCCAAGCTTTGCATTGCATCTCCGGTCCTAGGTTTCAGAGCCAGTTTGTAATTTGCCTGGTCCCTGGTATGTATTTTGGCAAACCCAACCCTTACAGTCAGGAGGATAACTTTCAAAATGTGGAAATAAATTCCAGCTGCCACCCTGCTTGCCCGGTTTAAAACCACAGGTGTATTCCATAGCATGATGGCTTGACTCTACCACCCAAGATGCAAGAACTTGCAAGAACAGCAAGCTAGCCATAAGCTTGTCAAGCTATTTTCATGCACATCACAGCTCACAAGACACCCAAGAGGTACAACATACTTGTACATTCACTTGAATGCTCATAATGGGGAGGTAGCAGAGGTTTGATTTTCAATGAGCTAACATCCATCCACGTTTTAAAGATGACCTCTTAGCACAGCTCTACCACACTCTGTTTGACTCCAACCATTCATTTCACAGCAGAACAAAGTGGTGTTGTCTTCCCTTTAACTAACTCACAAAGCACTTCCTTGTCATTATATCTATCTTAATCAGACAAACTGGGGATTGAAATAAAAGGACTAATCAAAAAGGACTAATCTGTTCCTTGGCTGTAATTGGATTTCCTCTGCAAATATTAAGTTACAACAATAGCAGTGGCTTTTGTTACATACTTAGTTTGAAATGCTTCTCTTCGTGTGAACTAGACAAATGTATATTGTCTGCCCAGACATTTTAGAAGGCAGAAATGAGGAACACATGGCCAGATTGGTAGATGGTAGTAGAAACCACCACTGGGGGTTGGAACTGGATGATCTTAAGGTCCTTTCCAACCCTAACTATTCTATGATTCTATGAAAACAGAATAAAGTCATTGAAGTTTAATTAGAACTTCTTCCAACTTTTATCTCTGTTGAAATATCACAAGAAACTTTACCTGTTTATCTATAATGAGGCTTAGCAAGCTCTAATAATGTCTGGCTTGAGTCAGCTGGGACTCAGTCTAAGTCTTGACTCAGTTCTCATTAAAGACAAGCGATCGTGCCACATTTTTCCGCAGGTCTCATAAAGCTTCATGGGTTTCAAATGGCAAGGCGCTACAGCTCTGACAACCACCACTTACCTGCTTGGTTCAGGCAACAGCCATCTCTGCATCCAAAACTGACAGAGGCTAAGGTGCAAGAGGACATGTCTGTCAACTGCTGGTCTAGGATTCCTCCAGGTATCTCTTTGGGGTTTCAGCTAGGAAGTGAGAAGACAAAGACACAGCCATGGGTTGAGATAGGCTTTTTGGAAGCCCCCACATTGATGGCACAATACCAGTCACAATTTGTAAGTCATACTTGGGCAGGTCTTCAAATGATACTTCTTTCTTCTGGTGCTTGCAATTCTTGCAACTATTGCACTATTATTAGTTCTGGGAGCAGAATTTCATGCTTGAAATTAACCACACTACACTTGAATAGATTTTCTTCAGGATTTCTGATGTTCTGTTTTGTGCATCTCAGGATAAAGTCTACCCTATGGAGATATGTAGGCTTTTAATGGAAAAGCTGTATCAAACCCACTTTGATAGCAAACCCAGGCCCTCTGTTGGGGAGCCAGCACACTGCTCACTCTGTGTGTCAAATGCAAGATTTCCCTGACCTTACCATCCCAGTTGCCCATTGCAAAGGATTTGCTCCATCATTTCTCCCACTTGTCAATCCTCTTCCAGGGAACAAAGTCCCTTTGCTTGGCAGAATAGGCAACAGGTCTGTCAGCCCTGCTGCTCCACTATGGCGCACATCAATACAAATACCTACTAAACTGGGCTCTCCCAAAGGCCCTTGAGAGCTGAGTACCTGCGCAGAGGGCTTGCAGAAATGCTACCCTGGGTAGACTTGCCCTGGATTCCAGGGAAAGGGGTTAAATGGAGTGGTATGCTGGTAACCGGTGACACCAGCATGCAGGCAAAGGGGGCATGCTGGCAAAGGGCACAGTTTGGGAAGCTGAAGTCGAATACCAAGTTACAGTTCTCATTAAGGGGCATTCCCAAAGGAGTCACAGAGAGCTTGCTTGGTGACAGAGACAAAAAGCCCGGTCCAGCAAGGCAACAGCTGCTTATGGAAGGCTGACCCAGCTAAAACTCTGGATGTTCTCCAAACAAAGATGGAAACGTGAATTCTATTCGGAGTGATTTTTATTTCAGGTTGAGAAGTTACACGAAGAAAGAACAAATATACATTTCCATGAGAGAAGGGAAGAAAGAGAGCATCCTATTGTGTCACCCTTCTAATACAACAAACCATCTCAACCTGAGCCACAGGACTGCTTTCTTCCTGGACAGGCAGGGAGAGGTTTTACACCAAAGGGTACGCTAGACAATAAACATCTGTAATATCTACCCCAGGGTCACACACCCCCAGACACAGCAATATGGTTTGTTCTTGCATATATGCACACACATCTGTTCTTGGTAGATAATAAAAAGGCTGATACAGAGCCACATGGATCAAACCCATAGCTTTTACAGAGGAATAGTTGCAGATGTTCACAAGGATCAATACATCCACATGGCACAAGTACTTATTCAATGGAGTGGTTACTCTAAACACTAGGGTTTATCTGAAGGCCGACACCTTCGTATCGGTGATAGTGAACTGTACTGGAGCAGATGGCAGTGAATTCCAGAGTTCATCTGTCTGTCATTTTATTAAAGTAATTAATCAAAATGGCTTAGCATATAAAAATACAAGAATCCTCCCTCCTAATTAGAGCAATTTGTGTTCATGTAGAAATAAAAGCACGCACACGCATACACACATCAGAGGCAGGATGGCTGACAGAGAGCTTATGGGATAAAGAAAAGAAACTCACTTTCCCTGTCCCACACCAGGACATCATGTTCTCCCTCCTGTCTTCGGGGATAATGGATTCTCTCACCTTTGGTGCATAGTTGTATTCCAAAGCCAAATAGCAACTTGGAATTTGTCCCGAAGGGAACCAGGACAAGGCACCTTTAAGGATAGTAAGGCAGATTGCATACCTCTGCTGCAGAAGGAGACTCCTCATGTCCTAGAGTGGTCCTGCTGTCCCTGAATGTAGAGGGATTAATCAGAATCTAATCAAAATCCTCACCCTCACAAGGTGTGGGTGCGTCAGTCTCAATTTGCTATAACCATGAAGCTAGTCAGACAGAAGAGGCTCATCTCCCTTTAGCAGAGGTACACTCAGCTATTTGTAGTGCTACAAGTGGTCTCCATCGCCTACAGCATGTGGATGACCTTATGAAAGAGTAGCCAGGATAGCAACAGAGAAAGTCTAAATAAGATTATATTTGTAAAAGATTTGAATATTCATGGATGGCCAACACATTCCTCCATTGGTTTTTAGGGAAATAATGTCACCAGAGGGGCAGAGACATACCGTGGGGCAGCGCAGGGAGGCAGCCAGGGCTGGGCCAGCTTGGCAATAGTTATTTGACTTACTGTAAAACATCATGAAGGTATTGTCTTAATTAAGCAGTCCCTCCTCCAAAGTTTAAGCTACATCTTCATCCCCTCGTAACAGGGTGTGAGACAGCCTATGTCCTCACGTGGGACTCTAATATCTCTGATCTATGTACTATAGGAGCCTGGACCTACTGGGGTCTGGGCAGACTCCCAAGGACCGCAGCAGACTCTGCAGGAGGGATATGGAGAAGGAAAACCAATTAAAAAATGAGGAAGCTTTGCTTCCGCATCAACACTATCTAGGAAAGACAATGTGTTTGAGGGCACCACGGCATGAGAATACCGTGAGCATGACAAATGACTCTACTTACAGCCAAGGGGTTTTAAACATGTTCCTTTACTGCTGCTTTACTGAACGTGATCATCTTAAGAGGACCAGACCAAACCCCTACACTGCTAAGGAGGTATCATCTCCATCACGAGCCCACAGGCCATTGTAAGCTTAGGAAATTGCATTCGTGCACATCAGTGAAGGCCCTGGCCTGTCCATTTGGTAGCATTCCTTCTGGTCCTTAAGCTACAGTCCAATCCAGTTAACTCTTGCAGTATTCTTTTCTGGCTAAGCACAATTCTTTCTGTGGGAATGTAATCCAGGGGGATTCAGGCATGTGGAAACAGCTTCATACAGAGTTTTCCCTTGGCGATTTCTTTCTGCAGCCTGTAGCTGCAATTAACTTCAGTCACACCAACATGCCATACGCGGTTTAGCTTCAGCCGCTAACTTACATCCTTGCAGAAGGGTCTTACTTTCTCTGTTATCAGAAGGATCAAGTGAAAGTCATTCTAAGGATCTGAATCTAATCCAATACCAACTTTCTTGGTTTCTGTGGCTTTAACCCACACTGTTAACTTTGCATTACAACAGGCTTGGCTCCAGATTCATTTCCTCATTCTGGTTCCTGTCGGCAGGCAAACAGCATCTGTGGCCTTGGGAAAGACAAGTACAAATATTTCTTGAGCAGGACTTCAAGAGCACTTGGTCTGCTGAAACGTCCGCAGTCCTCACCTCCTGCTGGCACCGACATCAGTGGTTAAACCCAATGAGATTTCATTGCTGGTGAGGATGATGTAACTGCTGACACTGAGACAGGATCTGATAGGGAACCGTACCATGAACTCTTGAATGAAAGAGATTTCCTTTTCCCTTTTCCATCAAAGAAACGTCGTAGAAGGAAGAGAGCTCTCGTACGTCTACACTTCTTCCATTCCTCCAAAAAAGAGAAGGTATTACCCTGCACTAACACTGCTGTGTATCAATACTCAAATGTACTTACAAACGTGCAATGTTAGTGGTTTTAGGGAGGTGATAGTTAAAAATGAACTTGGTTTCAGGATTCAAGATTGCTCCTCGCTTGCCTGGCAACTCCTCACGTGACTCAAAGAAGCATTCTTTCACCTTTTTCTGCATGCATTCACTGCTGCAGCTGTGAAACAGTGCCTGCTGGTCACAAATGTCTGTGAAGACCCCGTGCAGGGAATGAATACCATGTTAACATTCATTTCCCAGCTCCTGCTTGGATGTGAAGACAGAGCTACGCGAGCCAAATAGGGCTCTTGATCACTTCTCAACAGATTTAAAATACTCAATGGCAACTGTCTCAATGTGCTGCCCAATGCCTGGAAAAGGTTTCAACTCATTCGTCATACCCTTTGCCCTCCTATCTGACACTGAAGCAGCAAGCGAACATGGCTTTCATCAGTATGCTCGCATAGATAACAACGTCTTTGTCCCCAGAGAATAATGGCTACCACGCATTTATCTGAGGAGCATTTGTCCTAGCTATCCTGCAAGGAGGAATGTGGGTCAATCCCTGATCCAGAACTGCACCGTTATGTCTGTGGTCATGGCTCGTAGCCAGGAGCAGCTTATCAGAGCTCCACGCTGACACGCTGCATGCTTCGTTGTTGCTCAGTGATGATGTACCTCAGAAACACCAACGCTCGTGTCTGCCTCTCCCTGCTAATCCCTGGGCAGGGATTTTCATCCTCTGCTACATGGTGGAGAGATGCCTGCGGTCTTGTTGATGCTGTCTGTATTGAAATGCCAAGGGAGAGATGGTTCCTTCAGGTCTTAGCTTCTTTATCCATTTTGTTACCCTGCCTTCTGCAATGCTCCCCCTGCATCCTTCCAGCTCTTCCTTCTTTTTCTCCCCTCTTTTCACCAATACTGTCAACAAGACAACTTGTTCTTTCAGCTGAAAAGCACTTTCTCCCACTGAAACTAGACAGAAACTAAGCTGTCAAGGCTCCTAATTAATGTTGAATTCATGGTGAGGTCTGTTAATTTACCTGAACGTGTGCTTTCATGGCATGCCAGGTGAAGATGGAAAGAGGCAGATATACAGGGCACTGTGCCCCCTTGACTAAATCACATCTGCCTTCTGAAATGCAGTTCACACTGACACTAGCTCCCCTGCTTCCCCTGAGTTAGCCCAGCAAATGCATACACTAGATCTCCTTTCCATCAGTCCTTCATACTGTAGCACAATGCAATCCTGACTTCATGGTGCACACTGTAGCTGTTTGATTCCCTTCAGAGTGTTGGAAAGCTCATTATTATTTAAGATTTAGTGCTCTCTGTCTTAAGAGTGCTCTCCAAACACTGCAACTCGCTATCCTCCACACTACTGCCTGTGAGACACAGGTAAAGTATCTGTAAACTCAACAGCTTGTCTTTTGGTCCTTGGACTTCCTACCTGAGGCCCATTGCTCACTGCCTGTGGGAGGCTCAGGATTAAAAATGATGATTCCCAACAGGAGGTGCTTTCCAGAGGCTGGTGAAATGTGCTGTGCTAGCAAAGGAGCAGAGTGAAGAGTCAGGACTGGGGACTGCAAATCTCTGCAGAAAGAGGAGGTGGGTTTGTACCTTTTAAAAGCACTCGAGGACATAACCTGTAACATACGGCAGGGTGGCCAGTCACAAAGATACCAGGGTCTTTGACTCAGCTGAAAGAGGAACTGCCTAAACATCTGTGTTCTTGCTGTAAAATACAGAGGAACCACAGCAGAATGAGTCTAAGAATGGTGACACTGAGTCATGTCCATCTCTGGCCCTGGCCACAGCAAGCACCCAGGGAAGAGCACAGGAACAGAGCAAGTACATATGAAACCTTCCTGCCCCCATACTGTCCCTCCAACCTCTTCAGACAGTAACAGGGCTGCCTGGAAAAGACAAAGCAGAGGTTATTTCACCAGCTCATGTGGCACTTCGGCTGGCTCCACATTTCTGTCATGCCCAAAGGGCACACCCCTGCAGGGGAAGCTCTGGGTTTGGCCCTAGACTGTTCTCAACACAAAACCCACCCCGACTGCACAAGACGCCCCCAGAAGGGTTTAATGCCCTTTGTAATTACTGCCTCTTGTAGTGTAATCACCAACACACCAGCGAGACCCAGCTGAAGTTTGGTTCCTAGGAATAATGGGTCTTTACTGAAATACCAAGCACATCATAGCAAGGCAGAATGTGAACTACTTTTCCAAGGACAAGCTGGAGCCCTCAACACTCTCCCATTTATACCTGAGCATCCTATATATAAAACCAGCATCGGGCATTCCAGGAAGTGGAATTCCAGGCAGTGATGGATAAAGCATGGAGTGGAAAGCCAATCCTGGAGAAAAATAAATAAAAGATGGTCCAAAACAGTCAAATAAACTTCACTGAAAAACAGAAGGTAAAAGTGGAAGAATAAACGGCATCAGAGACAAAATGAGAGTGCATATGCCAAAGGCTTGCAGACTCGTCTCTTCCGTATTCCTGTATCTTTCCCCCCAAAAGCAACTGCTGTACTAGAGGGCAGGACCCCAGCTGTTTGTCTGCTTTCCTAAGGAGAGAATTTGTACCTTAAAGAAAGAGACTAAAACCAGAAAGAAAAAATTAGTGTTTTCTCGACGGAATTTATTTCCTTGAAAGAAGAAGCAACTGGCTAAAGGCTTCCACTGTACAGTCACGTTGGGAGGACATAAAACACACATCTGGTCCAGAGGCATTGGAGTGAAGTACCACAGCGGCACCAGGCTCTGGAGTGCCTGGGTGAGAGCAGAGCAGGTCCCACCGGCTGTACCTGCACCGCTGCTGAGCACCTTCTGAGCTCAGCCTCTGGAGTGAGGCTGAAATAGGAAGTTCCCAGTATAACACATTGCACTGCAGGTCCAGGACAGCATCCGAAATGCACCCCCTTCAACAGCCCTTTCAGTTCTCTCCCAGTGGCCTTACCTGAAGACCTGGACCACTTGGAGCACATGGCAAGTCTTCTGTCTCATCGGGCTTTCGATCAGGATTCACATCGTTACAAGGGCAGTTCCTGGAATGTGTCAAATATCTTACAGTCCAATGGAGTGTAATGTTGGATATTTCACATTTGTACCTTAAGAAAAAACAATGTGAAGCCGGGTGGAGAGCCCTAGGAGATGCGGGATGGCTATCATGAGGAATGGGAACATCACAGAAAACCAAGAAATGCCATTTCTGACACAGCTGACAAAGAAAAGACAAAGAAAATCTTTTGACAAGCAGTAACTACCCAGCATTCCTGCTTCCATAGATCCCTCTTGCTGTGCAAGAAC